TTCCCAGCAGTGGAATCGTCTCCAAAGGCCACGAATTGCTCCAAATGATCTGAATATGTAGTAATTGAGAGCTGTACCAGAATAGAAATATACGATGCATCGCTGCTTTGACATTTAGAAATCCCATTAGTGAGATGCGCTCACGCCCTCGACTTTCATTCGAAAAGGTGGTGAAGTTTGAAGGCGTATGTGGCCTATACAATGATTTGCGATCTGCCAGCCTCTTATGTTGCCAGGCGAGTCGGTCACCACCTGGCGGACTGCGGAGGGATGGAAGACTTGGTTGGCCTGTTTGGCCCACCAAGAACTTGATAACCGAATCATGCATGTGATAGTTGATCACTTAGAACTGGACCCCCTACTCCCTTGAACCTAACAAGAATAGAGGAGTACACCCAATTCAAGTTTTCTTTGTGTTACCTTGGCCATAGGTTGCCAGCCTTGTCCTGTCCTGAATGCCTCCTCATGGTAGCCACTAATGGCTAGCCGTGCAGCAAAGCGATTTAACTAGGGCAGTTACTGACAGTAAACCTCAAACGATAGCATTATTGGACCCGAGAGCTCCCACTGCACTAATGCTCTCATGTCATGATATGTGATGAGTATGTGATGTAGTGTCAAGTGGTGCATTACCCCACGTATGGTCCGTGGAATTAGTCCTGGATTAATCTCCTCTCAGGCCAATCAACCCTTCTGTCGCTCTGAAGTCGGTTACTCGGTAACGAAGTCGTCCGGGATGAGCAAAGCTCTGACTTGTACATCGGCTGGCCACCGTAAGCCATTGTATAGACGACATACGCACTCAAACGCCTTTGCAATCCTAAGTTTAAGTCGAATGCGGGAAGCGACACAGAACTAAGTTGATTAACGACAACGATTTTATCTTTTATCCTTTGGACAATGATGCTTTGAGAGCTATTGCATTTTTCTACTAAGTTGTTAATGGATGTTCATCCATGTTCTCCATCACGGCCTCTGCTATTCTGGGTGACAGACGACTAGCTTATCTTGAAGAGATTGACTAGGATTTTAAGATTTTCTTAATATTGTTGTTCACTATTTTTCTTAGTATTGCAGTAAAACTATATATGATCCCGCAAGCCGTCAGCTTAGTATGCGAATTACAGAAAGAGCTTTCGACTATTTCCAAGAATCAACTTATCCGAGGCTTGTTTACGCTGACATCGCCTGTCATAACAAATCAACTCAATAAGAATCCCTTTGTCTCAACCTTTATGATCAGAGTTTCTCGTATCAGACCCTTGGCTTTGAATGGTCTCATAGTATTCCCAAGAAAAAGGCGACGTCTCAAATTGTTGCGTTGTTAATCAGGACTTGGTGTGCGTGAGATCAGGTTATTCCCATTCAAGCTTACCAATTCCAGAGTAAAGCTAGAAATAGCCGGGTAGTTTGGTTGGAGTCAACCATCCCATCTCATCGCACTTCAACCTTTTCTGCTGGCCTTTAATTATCCTTAATTCAAAGTACACATTTTGATATTTTAGAAAAAAAAGTAAAGCTCTTGTCGTTCTCGTTAATTTGTTCTGCCCAGTTGGGCGGAGATGAGTATAAAATCAGTGTTAGAGGCCTGTAGCCTCAGTAAAATCGCTTTCTGTATTTTTGTTCTAGAAAAGAGCTTAGTTTACTTCTTAGTTGTGATTTGAGGCTGGCAAACGGATCGGTCAGTGACTACACCTAACTTCAGCTTTTTCACTGGCTTACTTAGCCCTTTTTATCCAAAATGATGAGAGATTTGGCCAGTTAGCTGTCTCGGTGTATGACCATCGTATTGTCCATTATCATCCACAGATCATGAGTAGTAACCAGAGCGTATCACGGGGTATCAACCGAAGATGTAGCTTTATTATGAGAAAAAGTTATAGATGGCTGAAAAAGCTTCCAATATTCCACAATGTTTTTTATTATGTTATATGCATTTATTTATATCATATTTATTTGCACTGTAAAGACCTCCTCCCATATTTACGATAAAAAGTAAAAGATAAAAATTCTTCGGCGTTAATCAATCCCGTTTTTGAGTGCGCCCCGCTTATGACTTCCATCCAGAAACGTAGTGCTTTGGAATGCGTAGTTCGTTGATACAGTGGATTGCTATGGCCAGCCGATGTACGTGTCAATGCTTTCATCTTTCCTAATAAGTCGAGTACCTTTTTTAACCGATTGAGGAGGAATGGAAGCTCAGCTTGCAGGTCATTCCATCAGGGATTCGATCCCCGGACAATGTGTGTATGATATTGTACCACTTGCCACTGCACCACTGCAGCTCATCTTAGTAAACATATTTTAGCTGGATTCCTATTGAGAAGTTGACCTCGTTCGACTCAACGGCATCGCTTCGGTCCCCCAGGGCAACAGTTGTTTTGGTGTAGAAAGTCAAAGTTTGCACCGTGTGTATCCTCGGACGAGTTCCACCGGCACTGTAGAGACTGCACTGTTCACAAGAGAACCCATGTGGGAAGGTCAAACATTTTGTCATGACCCATAACAACGCAGAAAGGCAGTTCTGTAAAGTTCTGGCTTGATTTAGTCAGCTCTTTGCGCAATTACACCAACTAAATCTCGTGCGAATACCCCTTCCATGTTATTTCCGTCATGGTGATCTCGTCCCTACTTTCCGTTTGTTTCCCTACTTTTAAGGAGCCATACTTCCTCGAAATCGGTAAATTCTCCCGCTTTCTTACTTACCGATGAATTAATCTAAACCTATACTTCCTCATTCCGAATAATACGGGTACCCCAAAATTGTCGTGAACAATGCCTTTAACCTCCTAGTCCCGGTCCACCTGAAAAGCGGGATTTCTAAGCGTGCTTGAGCTGGATTGGCTACGGTTCAGCTGGTTTGATGGGTGAGAATTGTGGCTACTTCAGTTAGGTGTTTTTGGTATCATCTCTAAGAACAATGTAAGTTAGTCATGCGCCAACCAAGTGATTTTTTCCGAGCATGGGCAGTATTCAATGTCGCTTTTTGGCAGGCCACTGTTCTTGAACGATTCGCCGACGAAATATGTAGTTAGGAATGTGCATTCAAACTGGAACCTAAATCTGTTCAACTCACTTCACAATGTGCATTTTGAAGAGAAGGAAGGGATTCAAAACTTGTGATGCTGTTTCCTATTGGCACGTTAAATATGTGGTCTTATTGACTGTCCAACGGGGTTTTCTCAGAAACTTCCAGGTGGTTTCGGAACGACTTGCCAGCCATATTGCTTTAAGATTAGTTTTGAGCACATATGGGATGACACTTAGGGGCCACCGTCATCAGATTCCACCATAATCAATTTCTCTGATAAACAACACAAACATGATTCACTTATCGAAATACGTATATCGCTGTAGCAGAGTAACAACAAGCAAAAAATAAAAACATTCATTGCTATATCACTTACAAATGCAGTTCTAGATGATCCAGAAGACATATTTTTCCTTTGCTATTTTGACCGAAAAGTGTTTTTCTTTGTGACTTAACTAACTTTGTTATGATTTTTTCAAGCATTTTGTAGGTTTATTTTCGACCCCACTTTGTAGCTAATAGCTCAAGCATAACATGGATTGTATTGCGTTAAGAAGAAAGGAAGTCAGCTATAAAATATGTGTTTTCAATATTTACCCCCTTGTTACTGGAATGAAAAGGTCGAACACAGGCGTGTGAACTATACAATGAGTCTCCAATTTCTCTCTCGCTTTAACCTCGGCATTAGGCATTAGTTAGGCCGTTTGACTAAATAAAGCGTTCCACCTAAAAACCTCGTGTGGCACAAGATAATAATTATACAATGAGTTTTTCCCCGTCATAAATAGTGTAAATAGTGTAGGGCCTACATATTTATGAAAGAAACAGTGTTCGTTCACTTCTGTTTTGAATTTTGCTAGGCATTCAGCTTCAGGGCTGACGTCTGACACTGAACTCAGCTCTGGGACCTAGAGAACGGCTTGTAGCTTCCAGCATATGTGCAACTCAGTTCTTCCGTCTTCCAGGATCAAAAAGGTGGCCATTGTAGTCCATTATGTTCCATTCGCTAAGCAGAGTTTGGTGGAATGTGAGGTTCGGTTGTTCTAGAGAGGATTTGATCATTGGGCCGTCCATATATTAGCAACATCGTCCATTACACCTAACGTTACGTTATTAACTTCCTAGCAAAGACCCGTCCAGTCGTTTTTTTTTTGTTTCATGCAGTAGTCGAATAAGGACTTCACTAGACTTCACCGTTTCCATGAAGGCGTATCGTTAGGAACTCGGGACGTTCCCTTCCCTCTTATTCGATCTCAATTCGTCGTTACTCTGAGCTTCCCATTTTGCTACTTTCAAAACTAATCAGAGGTGAGCTCACGATAAAAAGGTTTCTCTGAGATTCTCTCCTAGTGCGAACCTGTGCTTGGCCTCCGAGGATAACATATGGGACACTGTAGACTGAAAAAACGACATCGCATAGCGTTATAAGGGTTTCAGAACAGGATTGGCTGACGTACACACCCAAAAAAAGACGTGTCATGAGGGCCTTGCCAAGGGTGCAACATTCACAAAAAGTATTATTACAGTGAGGAATATGTAGTACACCCATTATGAGACACCCAACGATTACAGATACACAGTCTCGTCCAACCCCTGATTTTACTATTTTTGTAGAGCCTTATTTTTCCCTCTCTACTCACCATTTTTGCATTATTCTTCACCAAAATTTCCATTATTTCATTCAAACTAGAAAACACAGAAAATCGTGGGCTAGGCCTTATTGTTAGAAATGCAGAAACAAAAACGCTGAGGACAGGTTATGTGGAATAGCCATTATCCAAATCTCATTCTACAATAGACATTCCTTTCTCACCGACCTCATCGCATTCCACTCCGCATTCGTTGGCGACGTTGTTTATCCTTCAACACTCGGTTTCAGCTGTTTACAGAAATTATTAATTATTGAAATTTCTCGTTACGTTGGTAAGATGTATTATTGATGTGCTATTCATAAGCCTTAGTTTGCAGGATGCTGTGGCTGCTAGCCATTCTTGGCTTAACACAAGGATTTTCGGTGAGTAGCATTCTAATAGGATTCCATCCCCTTCCCTCGAATACTCAACTGTAATCCTTCAACATAATTTCGGAATTATATGAGGTTGAAAATTAAAAAAAAAAATTAAATAAGCCAGTAAAGTTGATATCTGAAGTAGCGATGGTCATCCTTTGATACCCGTATGGGAGAGAATGTATTAAGAGTTGCCATAATCCTCAATTTTGTATTGTCATGTCTTCAAAAAATCTTCAAAGTAATGGTATTGGAGTAATGATATTCAAGCCATAGATTGAGTTGACGAAATGTCTAGCCTAGAGATTTATACTTTGATAAACATAGAATGACACAAAAGGAAGTAACTACAGATCTAGCAGTTGAGCAGTTAACAAAAAAGAGGACTATAAAATCGCAAAAAAAAAACTCGAGTAATGAAAAATTGGAAAGAAATGAGAATTTTCCTCTACACCACGTTTACAGTACCCTTTTCAGACTTTCTGCACTCTGCAGAAATATGGCCAGCATAGTTGCAGGTGTTGAAATGTTTGATTAAGTCCTGTATGGTTCCAGATCGAATCCCATCTGACGACATGTGCCATGCTCTTGGAACCTCCACAGCTGCAATTTGAGCAACCACTACGAGATGTCGAAGTTCAGTACGGGGAGTCTGTCACATTGTCCTGTAGCGTTTTCGGAGCACCACAGGTTTGGACCCCTACATTACAATTGATTGACCAGAGTCAATTAAAGAATGTTTAAAAAACAAGTTTGAAGAAAGGGTGATAAAAAATCAAGACTGTAGAAAAGGCATTTTCTAAAACTCATTCAGCTGGAAGTAAACAATTTGTAAACATTGCTTTGTTTTTCCCGACTCCTTCTGGTTGAGGGACACTTGGATCACTTGGTCTGTTACCGTAAACAGTCTCTTAGAAGTCAAAAATGACTAATCAAAAAAAGATGTATAGTAACAACTTGTAAAACTCATGCTTCCCAGCCAGAGAAAGCCAATAAGATAACAAATATTGGTATTTTTGGAATCATTTTCTCTCTCTTCAAATTGGAGAGCAAAACTCAAGGAATCTCCAACTCAACTGCTGAGCAATCCCCAGCTTAACTGGTTATTTACAAAAACTTCTATCCAAATATATGTGCTACCAATCTCAGGCCGCTATCAAATGGCTGCATCGTGGACGTATAGTGGCCACGTATTCAGCACCATCTGTGGAAACAGCCGTGCATACGACTCGTGTTGCCAGTGGATTGATCGAATCAAGTAAGAACTTCAGCTGATTCTTCGTCACTTCCAATTACCCCTCCTTTTACTCAAATACTTATTTACTCAATCGCTCATTTTCAGAACTCTTTGTACCATGTGTGAACCGGCATTCCCTTGGCGAATATGTCTGCGAGGCAACATCACCTTGTGGCGAAGTGATCTCATCCACTGCAGTTGTTGGACTTTCAAATTCAATCAAAGGTGAGTTGATCAGGTTAGAAGAGGAAGGGGAGAAGCCAAACTACATGTTTGTTGGAGAGAGTTTGAGAGGGCCTTTTTTGAGTGGCCATCTTTCTAAAACTTCCGTTTCTAGCGTAAAGTGATGGCTTGTCTCACTAAACGGTTTGCTCCATCGAAATATGACTCTATGAAATGTTACGGAAAGCTAAACGCCAGCACCTTATGACTTTCTGAGCATTTCTTCTATCGTAACTACGCTTGCCTCTTTTCACAAAGGCTCTGGTCTTTTTTCAACTGCCTTTGTAGAAGAGGATTTTGGTGAATGACTTTGCGCGAGAATCCTCAATTTTCACTTCATATTCCACTTCATGTCGATCATCGGTGTTCGTCTGAAGAATAACCGAAAAATTGGATCGATATGGTTGCAAATCCCTTTACTGGTTCCACTGTATTTCCTTGGCATACTATATTCGGGTGCATAAGTGCATTTAGAACTACTTTTCTGCTCTAACTGCCTACCGCCTACCACTAGCTTACCTCCACCAAGGTTTTAGTCAAAGAGAAGCTTGGCAGACAACCGCATTCAATTTTCAATTGAAGGAAAGTTTTCAATTGAAAGACAGTTTTTGTAACCCTCGGATTCTGCTTGGGAAAAGTCACGCAGCGGTGCGATCGGGGCGGATCGGGCTAGCGTTGTCTCGTTGTTCCGGGATTTCCTAGGGCATTTTACGATTTTAATTTCATGGGTTCAATTTTGGCTTCTGGACCAGTATTGTCAAAACTCGGAGGACCACCTACGTGCCATTTTGACAATCGAAAGATGAGGGGCAATTAATGCTGATGACGTCGTGCTCGTTTACTGGGATGATTTTGCTTTGTTTGAGTAGGCAAGAAGTTCGTCGTTATGGAGAAGATTGCCTAGCTAGGCAAACAACCTGTCCGTTAACTTCCGTTCTGAGCTGATGCGGAGCTGAATCTGCCCAGGGAGCTCATTTGGGGTTTCCTGCAAATATCCTTGGAAAAGCAAAACAATTTCCTAGGATGGCTTCAGAATCTTAGGTAACTCGTGCCCAAGAATTTAAGAACGTACGTGACAGAAGTGTTTAAAAAAAATTTCGAATTTCCTGGGAAACACAAATGGACTTTTGAGACGGGAGGAGCAAAAACTATTTCATTAAATGAGGAGGCACTACTCGGGGAAATTACATCTCTTAAAAAAAATTTCAAAAAAATCGATAGATAGATGTGATTCCATTGTAGGGAATTTGAAGTTTCGACTACTCCCCCTCTCAACTCCTCTTCCTGTGAGGGAGTTTTCGAGAAATCGAAGTTCGGTTGGTATGCGAAAGAGGAGAGGAGAGGGGAGCAGGGTGAAGTCGTATTTTGAAATGAAGTTCGAAGAAGCCGTGCTAAAAAGACCATTCCCGTCGTAGTCACGCACTGGTTCTGGATAACTCTGAAGTCAAGCAACATCTGCTTTTTGAGACAGATCGGGAAACGGCGAAAGGCCTGAAGACCCTTGTAATCCATTGGCATACTTCTAATTGAAAGCCTCCTAAGTAAGCCGGTCGCTCTCTAGAACAACTTATTTGCCAAAATAGCTGCATGAGGAACTGGTGAAAAAGATTTCTCCACCAGTTCCTCATGCAACTACTTTGGCAAATGGCTGCTTTCATAGTCCGCAGGCAGGCGCGCTGGCGCGCNCTGCCTGCGCGCCAGCGCGCCTGCCTGCGCGCCAGCGCGCCAGCGCGCCTGCCCGCGGACTATGAAAGCAGCCAATGAGTTGTTATAGTTGCTTCCAACCCTGATTTCCAACTTCGGTCGATCGAGACATTGCCTGCTGAACTTCATGTGGTGGTGTAGCGGCAATGGCGCTCTTCAGACACGCATGGTCACGGGTTCGAATCCCGGATCCATGTCTGCCTGGGCCATGTAAGTCTTCCATGCCTCCGGATTTGGTGGATTGGAACCAGACTCGTCTGGGGAGATAAAAGCTTCGACTTGTACATAAACGGACCAGCGTAAGTCGTTGTATAGGTCACATACGCATTCAATACGCTACTACATTCTGTTTGGAAGTCGAATGCGGAGGACCATGCGCATCCCTCAGACGGGATTGATTAACACCAGAAACTTCGAAAAACTTTATCCCCTACAGTTGAATGTGTTGTGTTTCCTCCCACATTGAGTTACCCTATTCCTCTGTGACCACTACAAAACTCGACCGTGAAAAAACTCGCTCATATATCAACGAAGGTGTGATACTTGGCAGATCAATACGATACGATCAACATAACTTCACCAAGGCAATTTCAATGAAAATCCACCTTTCTTAGTTGCAACCTGTAGTGAAGGAACTAAGCAAGGATGGGAAGTTCATTGGGCTCCTTTCTTCTGAAGCATTTGTAGAGCAAATTCGTAGAAATAATGAGTATATTCATTCCAGGCAAATCTTCCTGTAACCTGACCCGTACCGCGATTCCTCCAACGATTGCCGTCTCAACGGTTTCCCGACTGGAATTGTCCGGTACTCCGGTTCAACTGATGTGTCGAGCAACTGGAGTACCCCAACCGAAAGTCACTTGGAAACGAATTAATGATGACGATGAACTCGAAGACATTAATGGCGAATCGACCATGGTAAGTAAGATTGGAAGAAAATCTTTTTACTGGAGTAATCATAAAAAGTAACAAAGTGGCTGAAATAAAACAAATAAGTAGGTTGGATTGAGGTTGAAGGGTAAACAAAAGCAAAGTAACGCAATATGGTAAGGTACAACGAAGTAAATAAAAAGCTCCGGGTATGGGCTGCTTTCAGACTTTGTCGTCCGTCCGTCCGTCGCGTGCGTGCTGCGACGGCGGCGCTAGACAGGTGTTGACGGCGCTGGTACGTGATCTAGTGTTGTCAAGACCTGTCTAGCGCCGCCGTCGCAGCACGCGCGCAACGGACGGACATCGAAGTCTGAAAGCAGGTATTGCATGCAGGTGTAGCAAGGTGCTTATTCGTTTCTGTAGCCTCATTACGATCATTTTCGGAAAGAAACTCTACTACCCTTCAAACATTTCCCATTTTTGCTCTCACTTCTCCTAACTTTTCATAACAGGATGTTGATTATTTACTAACACTTCCTCTTAGGTGTTGTCGAACGGTGACCTTCTGGTGGTAGCCGATCCACTGGTGGCCACAGAGTCATATCGATGCATAGCGAAAAATCCAAGTGGTACAGCGTCAGCTGATAGTACAGTAGTTTTTGTGGACGAGAGCTGAGGGTTCCGGATGGGAGCTCTGTGGAAGCTACCTTTTCTGTAAGTCGAACGTGATGTACTTGATAATCTACTTCGAATGATCTCTTCTCTCTGTGGCGCACCAAATAAAGACATCGTTGTTAGCTATAATATCAACAGTGTATTCTTTTTGCAGTTACCACAGGTGAGTTATTTGCAAAAAAAGGGACAACAATGATAGCCATACTGGTCACTGTGGTTAATCCCATAGTTGGCCTTATTTTGCTTAGAAGGACTGAATCTCAGGGGCCATGGCTGATGACAGTCAGCCGTGTAGAATAGCCCTACCACCCTTATCCTGCGGTTATCCTGGTTCCAGGCTTCCTACGTACATTGAGAGTGATTGATTGGTAGCTAGCGCTGGAAAATCGAAAAACAAAAGGAGTTAAACAACACAACCGTTACAAGCTTGGCCATCTAGATCTAGGTCTGATACCTTCGGTTGGTACATATCTCCACAGAGTTTATTAAAACGCTCTATAGAAGATTTTTTGCGGAATAATAATGCTTAAAGGCATCGTATACTAGTACGAGATGGTAAAAATCTGTTCATCATTTATTGCAGGGCATTTCCTATTACAATACTCTATCAGAACAATTACAATCAAACAACAATGAGCTAAAACCATCGAAGTTTCTTCCTCTGAATACTGGTACCCGTTTCACTGAGCTCAAAGCAACAAACTTCTCACCCAGAAAAGCTTTACAGTGCCTTATATAACGTTACAGTAATCCAAGAAGTAATCGAAATCATAAAATGACAAGCAAAGTAATTGCATGAAGTGAAAGAGCAAACCCAGAGCTTCGGTACACAAACGGGAAATGTCTTGGAAATGTCAATGGAAAGCTTCAGAGAGCGACATTATTTTCCTACCAACAAGGTCAATACTGTAATTCAAGAGCGATAACAACATATGATGATCTTTGTTCACCAATGGTTGGACTCAGAATTGATTTTTAAAAAGTGTATTTTCCAATTTCTAACTTCCTGGAATTCAGAGCTCCATCCTCCATTGTTGCAATTCAGCGTGAAAAGATCATCATAGTAAAAACGGTCGCAAAGGAAAACGAGAAATCATTATCAGGGCAGACGCTTCCGACTAAATCCTGTCAAGTGAAAATACAGACAAAACAGCTATTAACTTTAATTATTGCGTTCGAGCATGTAAATGGACAACAGGAATTAATAGGGCACAGGAATGAGATTGTACGCGTGAAGGCGTAGACAGAATAAGCAGGAGGTGGTTATGAAATTCTCATACAGCCTTATAGAGAATCTCGTGAAACGAACCAACCTCGCAACGTTCCAGTAACATTGACTCAGACTAGGCTCAGCTTAAGTCTGCTTCAACAAAAGGGCACTTTGGTAAAGCTGTTTAGAGACAAGAATAGGCTGTTGATGCCAAAACAGTTACTAATTGCTGATATTCAACCACTCGTCATCGATTTCGATTTCCTCGGATAAATGACGAATGATTCGGGACGAACCGAAGAAATCAGTTACACGTACCCGGGATGGTTCCTTCGGGTAAGTATCTTTGCGTACCCCTGAAAAGACCAAAGTACTTCAATATTCATTGTGAAGGAATTCATTGTGAAGGAAGTATTCATTGCAGCCGTCCACACGACTGCACGAAAAAAATTACTAACCAACTGTTGACAGACACTGGCGGCGAGAGCACGATTCGAGATAATCTTGCATTGTGGCAGTGGAATTCAGAGATTTCACTTCGCGATTCAAGAATGCTACGGTAAAATGTGTGTACCTGCAATAAATGGTCATAGCTTATGATCGAAGGGAATGGGTTACTGCATTACTCCAAGAGGGAATCGGTTCAAGAAAGGTAAATAACAGTGAGAAGAAAGTCCTTTTCACATCGGAACTGCCCTAGCATCCCCTACTAAAGTCGAATCGTGCCTGGAATGGTTGAACAAACCACCCCTGATGGAACCTATCAATTAACATCAATGGATGCAAAACCATTTGCACAAGAAAGATAAAATAAAGAAACAAACAAAGAGGTAGCGCAGTGACTACAGGGACCACGCTTCACAACAGGCAAAATGACAGCCGGTAAGTTCAACCAAAAAAGTTTTGCTATAGCTAAAGAAGGATCATGAGCGAAGTAACTATATATTCCTTTGAAAAAAAAAGTAAACCAAGAGATATGCCGTCAGAAGTCAAACCTTAAAGTAACGAACAAACAAGTGTTGGTCAAAAAATTGATCGACTCTACCTATCGATGACATAAACACCAATTTCGTCGTCCACGTCGTACGAATAGCTCTCCTCATGTGTCAAACTGCTGCTAGTCGACAATACTCCAGGACTCGACACCCATTCATACATGGAAGCACTGCGGCAAGTGTCAGCAATTAGGAACATTTCATGATACCTAAAGGATGGCGCAAACAGGTATGAATTTTGTGAAATAACTTCAAAAACCTCAGGAAATTGGGGCTGTAATGGTTTCTACGATTGAAAGGCAAAACTAATCAATCACTACGAGTTTTGCGACTTTTGTTTTTCACGTCAGTTTACCAAGTTTTAAGTCTTTTGTTGGTTTCTGCATGTATGTTAGAAAATGGAGACGAGAATGTGAAATAGAAACTCCTGAGGTATTTTTTTCATTTAATTGACTGGATGAAAATGTACGTACCTGTTATCTTCATACATCGTCTGGATGGCATACGCTAAATCGACATTTGTTAATTCTTCGGCGTCTTGGAATTTCAGAAAACTATCACCACCGTGGCCAGTCAGGTAAATCTTAACGAACCAACTAGATATAACGATTGAGACAGTTTTCTGCCAGTTTTTTGTTATCCATCGCCCAAGTTGACGAATAGATGGTCTTTTTGAAGTCAACTCAAATTTTTGAGTTAAGTTATAAGTTTTGGATCCCCTCAAGAATCTCTATCTTTCCAAAATTACTGAATAAGTAAACATATTCCCAAGTACGAGGAAAAAACAACTGACCAACACGTTGCTCTGATGATCAGTTAGCAATCGTTTCGACCGTGGAGTAGCAGGGTGATGACGTCCTGTGAGAAGGCGGATAAAATTTTCCACGGTCACCTCTTCTCCTCGATAATCCACCTCAACATCTATTCCGTAGAGATTATTTCCGGCACGTGCCGCGTACACCGTACCTGGAATACCGAAATGTGACTCAGGCCTCTGGCTTTAGAGTATTAAGAAAAATAACTCAAGGAGCACGATTTTTTGAGCTAATTTTATGACATGTCATCAAATTTGGCTATTTGGCTTTCTTCTAGCTTAACGCGTACCTCTTTACCTTATTTTATCACAAGTTATCAAGCTCATTACCCGGCAGTCATTTTGGATAAAGTCAAAAAGTTCAAGCCACGACAGTTTATTTGTCAACCAGCATTTTTTGAGCAACCTCTTTACTCGCTACTTACGGATGATAAATCGATATCTCCACTTGTTTTGAATGATAATGCAAATATAATGATTTGTATTATCCATCCCTCAAAACTAACGAGTGGTACTTCTCAGTTGCTACTTTATGTTAACTGCCATACGGCTGCCACTTGGCTATGGTAGGAAAGCAATTGCAACCACCTTCATCCACGAGCTATGTTACCACGGGCACTGGTTATACTACACCAGAACAGGTACGCCAAAATACTTACAACAACAGCATCTAAAGGCGTACCCGAGACATCTTCGATTTCAGGTAGTTATTGAGGGTAAGAGGACGGTCAAAGTTCAAAAGCGAGGAAATGGTGAGTTCGACTGCATGTAGTTCTCAAGAAGAAGTTCCAACGGCAACAGATCGGACATTTTCAGAATGGGAATCCGACTCGGAATATGTCAGTACCACTGAGGCAACCCAAACTAACGTTGGCGGGAGCACGATCACTAACATACCCACAACTGAAAGTCAACTGTAAGTCGTAGAACTTCACTAGCTTCAAAAACGAGTGATTTCTCTTGCATCAAAGGTCCCTTGAGCTTGAACCTGGGACTCATCCCTTCTCACTGATTGCATTTGCTGAATGCTTCAACCACCTTGATTCTACGAATCGTTTCAAATGAAATGATAAAACAAGGAAATGAGAAAGTATTAAAGATAAGGGGCATAAGACAAGGGATCACCAAGAACAACTTGAGATATGCGCTTTCCGCCGTTCCTAGGCTAATTTAAAACCGAATGGCGAACGATAGCCCCGAATGGAATACCGTATAGCGAGACAACTAGCTAAGAAGCGCAGCAAGTCGGAACTTATGCTCATGCCTCATGAAGCGGTCGAAATTCGCCATCATCCGTAAACGTTGCAAGGGCTATGGTACATCGGTACTAATCTGAGCAAACACTCATTTCAGCCCGCCTTCGATTCAAGAACTGTTGACACCAACAACACAGGGAGGGACAAGTAGTTCAGTTCAGCAGACCATCTCCACATCGACGGTGACCAGTCGTCAATATAAGACAGAACCTAACACCACTGTTACCCATACGACGATCACCTTCTCTGAGCCAGAAACCAGTGTAACGACTGGAACCACAGAGACTACAACAAAACCACAAGTTGGTCAACAGCCACAGACGACTCCCCGGCAAGCTCCAAAAATGGTGAGACTACAGCATGCCATTGGAGATGTTTCGCAAGATTCTCGAGCTTCCAGGTGGTGCCAAACATCAACGCCCCAGTACAGAGTCCTCTTCTACTTCGCGTCAGCCCAGTTCATGATGCTGTAGTTGCTCATGTCAATAGCGACCGACTGTCTACGCCTAAGGAAAGGGTAGAATTGTGGCAGGCAGAGACGGTATGGTACCTATAATATTTTGTATCAATTTTCACTAAGGAACTGTGACCGCCCTGAGTAAGAGAACCAGATTCACACAGAAGGGCTCTCGAGTAACCCGAGGCTTTTGCTAGCCTTCAGAAAAGCGTTGTTCGGATGGACTTTAGAAAAAGGCCACGTGGGGAGCCTGCACCAACACCGATAATTCCCACTTTGCTCATATGGAGTAATTTCAGCGTCATTCGGCTCTCTACAGACTAGCGCCGTCAGCTGAAGTGCCTCCACATTGCACGTTCGTCATGCCACCTCATGTCGCCAATGTCGCTACAATCCAGCACATCATCAATACGCCGGTGTCGAACGTGACCGCTTATTGCCTTCCGCCACTGCAAAAAGTCAAGGTACTATAACAGTTTCGTAAACCCTCGCGGTGTGGTCGGTTCGGTTCTAAACCGGACGACAAAAAGTGAACGCAGGGTGGGATGTTTTCAAACCTGCCTTAAACTCGTGTCGCCATTTCGAGACTAACAATAAACTGTTATGCGTGCAGCGATCGAGGCTAGTCGATTCAGGGTTCCCTGAAGAGAATAGGTCCCGACACGATCAGAGGAACGAAAACGCCGCACTGTCGATGACTTATCGTTAGTTCTGAAAACGCGGCCACAATGGCACGCCCTGGCCACTTCTTAATTTAACTCAGTTGGCATTTAATTCTTATGAAAGCGGGGATCCATAGAAATCAAGCGTGGTATACATCAACAGGTAAGACCTAGAAAAAAAANAAAAAAAAGAATTCATTCTCGAAATAAAGCTGAATGTCCTCAATATTCCCATACATACAGTACAGAACTATGAAAAAATGAGTGAGGAAACCAGCAATTTCAGAAAGAACACATATCCCGAAGACTCGGATGTGCTCATTTGATGCTTGCCCCTGAAGGACCATTACAAGCAGAGAAACTTCGACCATTTTGGGAAACAGTTACATTTACCATAGCTTTCGGAAAACATGTGGCCATCGAATACCGTATACCAAAGCTTGCAGCTCTCAAGGTGAGTGAAATTCTTCAAACTAAAAGGATACTAATGATTCATCTGAGGATATTCAGGTTGAACTTATTAAATGTCAAAAATACCCTATAGTAAAAGTGGATTCAAAAGTACTGTACAAGAAAGTAGCCGAAGAGGTGAACGTTTCTCGAATTTATGTTTACATGAGAAGTTCACTAATAAACTACTCTCATTCCAGAAAGTAGTTCATTGGACAGCTGCGAAACCCTATCAAATAATCTTAACAACGGTGGAAAAGGACGATCCTCAAATGGTGAAACGCGTACGACTCGAACAGAATCCATTATACGAGAGAATGCCATCTCGTCAGTTTTCTCGCATAGTAACCAAAAGAGTCACAAAGTCAAGATAGCAGTCAACCCAGCAACCAGCTTCTAGTTGGATGTTGAATTCAACATTATGGCACAGAGGTATTCCCCCGGAAATGTTGAAAATCTAGTTTACAATCTAATCCATCAACTCTTACTGAAGAATCATCCAAAAATATCTCAAAAAAGATCACACGCCAAGATTTGAAGGATCTGATGACTTTACAGTTAAGTATTTTGGACTCAATTACAGGCTATCTTAAACGTCGAGCCTCTTGATTTGCGGAGAAACTTTTTAAACGACCCTAGAATGGGTCTCCACCATATGCAAACAGCAACTGTTTTAGCACTGCAGCGTAAGCGCAGCGTTTTCTCCGATTAAGTACATCCCATGGAAATCTATCAGTCTTAACCACAATATATCATTTGTTCGGGGTAGTTAAATGTATAATGGTACCAACGAGATCAAAAGCGAAACGCGTCAATATTTAGAGTGCAACGTAGCAGAGGTTGATATGTACACAACGGAACAAGTCGACTACAAAACTCATTCGACTACTGGAGAGCAGTCACGCACCGAGCGGCACACATATCATGATCACCAGTTGATTCAACGATGGAAGAACACAATACATGTGGAAAATCGTCGACAACGAATCGACTGGTAATGTAGATGAGGTTGATGAGCAGTCAATAAGTAAGCATTCATATTTCACCATGTTCAAAATCTACCGATGGTGTTCCATTCGTAATAAATCTTTTAAATCTGTTAATATGTTTACTTTCGAATAGGCATCACACCAAGACACCGTCTTGTCAGAGCTGAAGACTGCCTAAGCCACAAATGAAACTCTCGCGGAATTTTGAGATTAACATTGGCAATTAAACCAGAGAGAGAATAATCACCTCCCATCCCTTTCCCCTAGTTTTCCGAAAAACAATAAAAGTCACCTGGGCGAGGATTTCTTGGATTGCATGGGATGTCTTCGGCTAGCATCAGAATGATGTTACTGAAATTACTATTTTCAAACAACTGTCTTCGTCCAGAATCATCCTCATTTTGATTGAAACATTACTATTTGTTGAATTGGACTCCTAGTAACAGTTCACCTTTCAGGTATACCCAGTCGTTTGACAGTATGGTATAGAGCTAGGACATTGGAAACGTGACGATAGTTAAACCAGAACCGAGAAGTACATACAAGGACCTTAATGCATGCATAAGTTTTTAGAATGGTAACTAAAAATTAGGCACTCACAGCCCAGTTGTTGGTATGACCCGGAGTATCGAAGAGTTCCTCTATCCGAAGTTGTACACCTGTATTCAGGATGCCCAGCACGATGTGTGGGAGAAATAGTAACGCCACAACGAGAAGCATCCCTAGCGTACCGCAAAATCAGTAAAGGAGAGTAGTAATCTGACTAGGAACGATATTGGTATACACCTTTTAGTAAGTGAGGTAAGCAGAATCTCTTCTAAACAATTTATTCCAGCGTAACAACCTCAACATTATAAGCAAAAAACTGTAATGAACACACGGAAACGAGATCCGGAAACAACTCAAAAATTACTTGTAAAGAACGAGGCAAATAAATGATGCCTAAACAGTAACGGCATGAATCATAGTGATATTATCGCCTTTGAGCAAGATGCGACCAAGTTTGTTGCGGCTTTGTGTCTTGACGTTGAGCTCTTCAGCTTCATCCAATACAACATTCATATACTCATCGAATCCTGAACAAAAAGGTATGCGAAATTTCCGCCGAATTGGCAATTTTTTTATCTTGATGTAAGAAAAAGCATTACAACTTCTCAGCCACTTTGCTGTTGAAGCTTCCGTGCGAAGAAATGTGTAACGCCCCAAAACCAGGAATAAAAGGAAAATTTGTGAAGATGCTTACCAACAATATAACCCTCAATGCGATGAGTAACGTCTTCATACAACCAAATCTGGATCCTGGTTCGATTTTGAAGATAACTGCAATAAAATGATTACCTGTAACATAGTACTAGTAAGAAAAAAATACAAGACTGAGCTTGAGCGTCACCGTAAATCTGATTAAGAGAACTTACCGGAAAATGAGGTTGATGGGTTGCACCATAACTTTCTGGACTTTCCGACCGGACATCATCTTGACTGTAATAACTTCAGAAATTAGTTGAGAACTAAAATAAACAACTAACAGGTGTTTCGAGTAAGAGGTCAAGAAATAAACGCCGTTGCCGAAGTACAAATGAATTCGAACGGCTGATCGACGGACAATTGCGTACCCGCACATCGCACACCAATGCGCTTACAGTAGGAAATAATTTTTAAAGGTTATACTATACCTCGCTTTATGTTTTAGTAGTATAGACTTTTTTACCTGGTGAGAACCTAACGCCCATAGATGTTAGAATGTTGTAAAGTAAATAACTTCGCAGAAGACCATAAGTTTCTCCGTCTAAAGTTACTTTGGAGTGTTTCCTGTCCCCGTTTGTGGGAGGTACTATAGGAGTGGTCCTAGTTAATATTCCTAGCAATGCCCATATCGTAAAAGTTTGATTGGAGAGGCGCGGAATCGTTGATCTGATAACGTGAGAACCGACCACTCATCAATATTTCCCACCTACCCGTGGGGAATCCACTAGTGGGGCCCCCAACTCGCCGATCGATAGACGCCTCGATCCGGCCACCGTCAGCGGCTCTTAGTGAAACGAGCTCTCAGTACATCCCTACTCTTCTTCACTTTTTCACTGTCTAATTTGTTGCTTTCTGTGGTCGTAAATGCGAAGTTAGAAGCTTTCTCTAATGAGAGCAGAACTTCAGACTTCTTCAAGTTCAAATTTTTTCCAGGTTCCAAGTTTTTGCGAGTTTTTTAAAAACATTTTTTTGAAACTCTTTTTATTCGAGTTTTTTTGAAACTCTTTTTATTTACTCTTTCGTTCTCAGAACGTCCAAACTTTTTTCATGGGCTTAGCCTAGATTACTGAGGACTACTCAAAAAATTTGACTGCTTCATTTGGAATTCGCGGACTTTATGACACAGTAAGCTGGCCATGACACCGGCAGTTCTCGAGTGGTTCCTGGCCATGACAGGAGCCCTGGCGATGGCTCGTTTCATTCAGAGCCATCTGTCTGTTCTTACTCTTGCTTGATACCCCTACATGCAACAAGTTCTCTTTGGTGGTCTGATTTACCTCCTTTCTCAATGCGTGAGCTTACTGTATCAGAATATCGGTGGACTTCAAAGTCCATATTGAGCATTACGGATAAATGCCTGTTTTTCGAGCGAAATCGTTTCCTTGAAAGCTGCATTTGGACCAAAATCGACTTGTACTGTGAAACTCTACCGTAACTTGCAGAACTCACAATTTAGTGAGTACCAGTCCTCATCCCTGATCGGCCCTGAGCCTGTTTACTACTTGGTCGATCACTCTGTTTTCAGGTCGTTTGCATCCGAATTTTCTGACAAGTGTCGGTGCCCTTCCGGCAGTCATTCTTGGTCATGACATCTTTTTATAGTAGTATTTGTATAAACACTGAAGCCGGCAAGAAGCTTTTGGGCTGTAGGGTTGAGGTTTTAGAACATTTACTCGGTACCGTGACTCTTATTTGGGATGGTCGGGGCATTACGCTTCCATTCAGAATCGTAAAAGCCTTTGAATGCGTTTGTGGCCTATACAATACTTGCGATGGCCAAAGTACAAGCCGGTGCTTTTATCTATCTGATCGGTCTGGTACCAAATTACCTGCTTCAGCGAAATCGAGGGTTTGTTGGTCTGAGGGGATATCCTTTTGGGATTCAATCCCCAGGCTATGCGTGTGAAAGTGTGTGGCACTACAACACCTCTTCCCATCAAAACTCTGGTGAGCCAATGTAAGAACCAAATTGGTAGAGCAGGTTGAGTGGCTGCTGAGAAAGTGATTCTGAGTACGTCATTGTCCGATGGTTGGCATAGCGACGGATGGGAGCAGTGCAAGGACGTCCTCAGTGTAGCCCAAGAGCAATTTGTTCTATGGTTTAGCAAAAAAGTAAACGCCGATTTTCATGGCACTGTTTTTGGACGTGGACGTGAGTAAAAACTGCTGTTGGTCGATCTTTGCTACCTAAGCGTCTCATCGATGACCGTAGAACAGCAAGCCAGTTGGTTACTTCTTCCTTTTCAACCCGTAGGTCTAAACTGTGGACAATCTGCTTGTAAATCACAGTCATAGGACCCTTCTCTCGCCCAAGAGTACGCACTACGTCCTGCGAGGCCAGCATGCGGGTAGACCTGGGAGCCAGTAACCGAGTTCTAGGGAGGGCGGAGTGGCTTAGTGGTGAGACCCCATCTTTATACCCGAGACGAGCGTGATAGGTCTTCCCACTTCGGTGTTATCTCTTTAACTATCCTTCAAAATTGATCCCAGTTATAGGAATACTCGGGCAGGAGAGTTTGGCGAGACGCGCGAAATAGTCGCGCGGTTGTCGCGCGCGATGAGTTCTGCCGTTAATTTGAATGGGTCAGTGACGGTCGTCTACAAGCAACTCTCGCTTCATCACTTTTTCTGTTTTCGAACTACTGGCGTTTATTCGTCTGTGCTCCTTGATGGTTCCAACTTGTTGTAGAAGCCCAATATTTTTCGAGGATCCACGGATGTTTTTCAAAGTCTACCTAGAAAAAAAAGCATCAATCCCATTTCCCGAGCGCATAGAACTGCTCTTAGGTTCTCGGGAAGGGCATTTCCCATCCCTTACCGGGGACGAATGTTTACTGTTTGGTCATGCACGTGATGTGTTGGCGATGGCACGTTACTCTGGCAGTCGTATGACTGAATAACATTCAACTGTTCCCCATCCCCGATGGACCATTTCCTCCCCAGCTCCTTTGGAAAGCGTTTCGGGGGCTCAGGAATCCACAAGTACTGAGAACTTAGTCTTTCTATTCCCCAACAAGTTCCATCACCCACATCAAATTGGTTGACAAGTTCTGTCATGCCGGAACATGTTTAGCGACGCTTTTCCAAAACGTGGTGATCTGTTACTGCCCTGAGAAGGAAGTGATTCTTGGGGAAATCTCAGGCGTGGAGTGGGAGATGAGAGTGGGGGAGAATGTAGATAGAGTGGTACAAAATACTCGCGTTCAGGCCGCACGCGACAATCGCCCTGTAATTTTGGGACTGCAAAAAGCTTGCTTTATTCTTTCCCTCTTTTGTTTTCAATTTTTTAAATGTTAGTGAGATATTTTAGAAAGTTTTCATGACCTAAAAAACACGTCTGACGGCTTCCGTTTCGTTGTTAAGGATTTCTCCGTTGGAGAAGAAGTTTCGTGACTATTTTTGTCTGTTCGTACGCTTTTTCATATTGTTTTGCTTCTTTTTCCTTCCCGCTATTTTTCAAGTAAATTCGTTTTCCAAAAAAATTTAAAATTTTTACACATGTTCAAAAAGACAAAAAGAAGAAGACGTTAGTAAAAAATTAAAAGGAGCTAATGACGTAAGGGAAAAAATCGAAAGAAATCAACCTAAGTGGGCAAGTTTGATACGGCTACTTTGAAATCGCGGCGAAATTTGCCGCGCGCGACAAGTGTGCGGTCACTCCAAGGGACGCCGCTGTTCAGGTCTGAACGAGGAAGGTCGTATGAGCTCTATGCAGCAGTCCCCCCTCCCTCAATGAGCAGGAACGGTCCCCCATGAGCAAGAGCGGGTGCTAACTAAATTTAATTCGCGTAACTGTGCAGTAAATATACTCTCATGGCTAGCATCTGCAGTAGTACGTGTCCAATTTAGTAAACACCCATGCCCATCCTCATATCCATTTAGGGGGAGTGAGGCATACCCTCAAAGAGTAATCGATGCCGCCTCTATTTAGAATCCGACATTCCATATTCTCGAACACCTAGCCGTTCGCATCCGTTTTCCCTTTTCTCTGTATTCTGGTCGTTTGGAAAGTTTTCATTCTTGAAATAACTACCTGATGAGCAAAGTAGTAATTTCATATTGTCATGAGTCTATTTACTTTGTTCAGAGTTCAACATTATCGTATACTTTATTTTACATTTATCTATTTCTGTAGGAATTACGCTGTGGCCCTATGCACGCGTAAAACCAATAAATACCCCAGAGTACACTGGTTCGCAGGACCAAACTCTGGTTGCGTTGAAAGAATTTTGCTCTCTACAATGTTCTTATCGCTCCTACTTGTACTATTTATTTCTTCATCTATTTATTTACACTACTGTGTCTGTTTGTTTACGGGCATAGGATATTTGGTGTTCAGACTCGTAGTTGACTTAAAATGAAATACATTCTGCTAAAAAATAAATCAGTCTAAGGGGAAGATATTTGGACTTAATAACAAATTTCTGCCATAGAACCACACCCAAATTGATTCAGTTTAGAATCAAGAGATGACACTTCATTTATTATTACTTCTGTCTTTTCAAATTTTCTACTTTCTATTTTTATTTTTCTTCAAGTGCTTTTGCCTTTCGGAACCGCATGTTCTTTAGATTGTGTCCCTCCATTTATAGTAGTTCATCTCTGTAGATTCTCTCGAAAACGCATTAATTATGTCGCCGTCGTTGTTTGTTTGTTTACTTCGAATCATATGTGCTGTTTGTAACGAAAAAATTGCCTTAATGAATTTTGCGCAGGACTAGTAATTACTGCAAGATTACAGAAATGCAACCGAATTGTCGTAAAAATGATAAGGACAGTGATGGTAATGGTACGCGAAATGTGAAGGACGAGGACCATAGTTCGGATTCGGGTGAACTGTGCAACAGCATATTGGAGAGTTGCCGTCGAGCTGAAAGTGCCGAACGCGAAAGCAAAGAAGTAAGTTTGAAGGTGGGAACCATCTGCTGACGACATCGCCTATATGGTCCGTATAGTTCCAGGCAACAAACGGTAATGTGGCAAGATTTGCTAAGAAGGAATTGGACTACATAGCTGAAATGTATTGTGCAAATTATGATATTTTTCACAAGAGTTCCCTAGGCGGAGGAAGGGCCAAAGAAGCCATTGCGGTGAGATTTTCACTTTTTTCTCTCGTTCCTTGGGTACGGAAATTTTGACTGTGAATCGATAGATTCGGTTTAAAAAATCGCATTTCCCATTCGCTTTTCCAAATGTTTTCTTCAGCCTGTCTCAAGACCGAGCGTTAGCTGGAGAATACTGAGTTACAAGTCAACGTTTAGTTTGTGGAGGGTAGTGAAAGGCTTCAGATTACAGAGGCAGCCACTTCCTGCGAGTGACAGCTAATTACCACACAGAGCTGGAGATCGAGTAGTGCCAAGTGCCGCTGCATCCAGACATATAGCCTGGGAGCAAATCCCTTACCGTTGCCGAGCCAACCGGGAGTTTCATCCGTTATCAGGGTCGGTCGATTGGTTCAAGTCCACTGGGAAAATGGAAGCATACTGGTAATTCGACTGGTTCTCTCACGAGTTGTACAGAGCGTGGTCTCCAAACGCTAGTACGATTGTGAAAGGCGATCAAACAAAACGATTATTTTGAAGTTTGACCTATTCACCATGAAAATAGTTTTCAAGATTTTCTACAGGGACGATTTCCTCCAACATAGCACATGGGCCGTTTATGGGTCGAAAAAGAGCTTAGAATGACGAAAGATGATGAAAAAATGACAATAAAATGATAACAAAACGGCAACAGGAGCAGAGAATAGCGGCATGAAACCGTAGTAGCCGAATTCCGGCTGGTGCAGTGCAGTGTGTGATCAATATTGAATAATTTATGCTTCAAACCAAATTAGGCTGGTTAGCTAGCCTACCGCACCCTATCAGTTTGAGGAAAATCCTTAGTTCTTTGTAGATATGGGTGGAGCATCTGGCTCACTGAGGGTAACCGTTCGATAGTTAAATATTTGGCTCATACCCAAATTCGACTGTGGAACAAGCTCTGGAGATCCACCCTATCTTCCTATCAAGATTTTCAAGACCACAACGAGGTCAAGTACCACAACTCTCAGTCCTCAGAAAAAAAATTCGAAACTTAACCTTGAACTGGGGCATAATGGGATATAAGGTGGATTTGCTTTCATTTTTCTTCTTTCAGTTGAAGAGAAAGCTGCTACAAGAAATGGCCGATCACCTTTCTGCAATTGTCGATGAAAAGCGTACCGTCGTACAAGTCGATCAGAAAATTCGTGATGAGATTAGACAAGTGAAGAAATACCTACGCTATAAGGTGGGTGCCCACTCGTAATCATCTGCTAAGATATTTTTAAGTCTAGAATTCGATTTTGATGTCAAACGGATATATTTATAGAGACAAGATGCTCTGGGTACGGGTGGATTTTCGAGAGAAATCAAGTTGTCATCGAGTCAGCAGTACATCGCCGACAAATTGAAGATGAAACCAAGGTTTTCAGGAGTGGATTACAGTGAACTTGAGTTGCGTTTGGCTGAGGTAAGGATTGCATCCTACTGGGATCTCTTTTGAGTACCCTCTAGACTTACCCTTAGGCTGTCCAAAAAGTGCCTGTAATTGTTACACAGCAGTTTTTTTTACAGAATGCTGTCGGTCTCCTATCGTTGCCACTGTCAGGAGAGCTGCCCATGGACTATGCACCGTCCTGTTCGAGTACGTATCCTAAATTCCCTATCATTCTATAAGTTAACCGCTTCGTAATTGGCTTTGGAGAGGAGCCTATCCAAGACATGAATAGGTGTCCAAGGAGAAAGATTCGATACCCCGGCGGCTTCTTCCCTCAGTATGCTGCTGCCTCAAAAACGGCTGTCAGAAATGAATCAAGTTAGGCCCGATCACCCAAAAACAGGTGACAGGGACGAATCAAGCTGTTGTCAATGCTCGTTATCCTTCAACAACTCCACTCCTTAAAGACATAATTCACAGTAATTTTGAGGTAGTCTTTTTTGGGTGTAAATGTAGAGGTGTTCATGTAGAGGAGAACATCGGTAGCGAAGAAAGCGAAAAAATGCGCTTGCTTCAAGGGGTTAGTGGAGTGGAGGAAGTGGTATAAATGGAGGTTGTACGAGATCACCGAGACAGGAATGGTATGTAAGGGGTGTTTGGACGAGATTTGATTTGCTCCGATTGCTCAAAGAGATAACTACATCGAGTCGGAACTGTGCTGCCTTCCACTGTCGCCATGGGTTATGACAAGTTGCTTGAACATCGTACATGAGAGTCCCTTGAGATATTGCAGCCTCTATAAAGCCGTCGAAACTCGTCCATTATGGGTGTGGTATTCACACGATACAATCTCTGGCCCCTTATTGTGCCCTATACAGAAGGTTTTTCGACCTTATAAAGGCGGGTATGGTATAAGGGGGAGCTTCACTTCACTCACGGCACGCAGCAATTTCTAGTTAGTTTTCCCGAAATGTCATGTCTCGGATGGCTATCCCAGCTAGTTGTCTCGTCGCCCGTCATGCCTACTACTATAATGTCATCACTACCTTTAAGGCATAACGTCGATCATAGCTACTTATAAATATTTCTTTTCAGATCCTTCCACCCTGTCATTCCCTGCCGACACGACCAGCAACGGAGAGCCGCCGCCCCTTTCACTCGAGGCGTCCCTTTGTTCTCTCAGTGACTACCACAGAACAAAGGGGCTGGACCTAACACTGTGAGCAAGGACTTCAGTCACATTCTCAGGGTGTTACCGTAATCGAAATCCTTTTCAGGGAAACACTAGAGGAACTTCAAAAAGAAGCTCTGCGAGCTGAAACTGAGTGTGCTCGAGCTCGTATGGAAGCAGCTGTTGAAGAACGACGGTACTGGGAGGATAAGCGTGCTTTGTTAGCTTTGGAAAAGGAAGCACTTCTGGCCCAAAACCCTTCTCGGCAGGACGACGATCACAGTCAGGAACGTATCTCAGCAGCCAGTGAAGAACGTCAGTTTTGGAAAGAAAAACGGCGAATTCTGGGCTTACGAAGGCAATGTGTTCTTGAACAATTAGACTCATTAGATTCATTGGACTCGCTTTAGGAAAATAAAATGATTTATGCATGAATAAAACTGATAACTTATTTTCCTAATGCATTACTCTTTACAAAAAAGAGCGAATGCTATTTGTAAAATGTTGGATGTTCTTGTTTATTTGCTTATTTGTTTGTTTGTTTTGTGTTGGAATCGAGAACGTGTGGGTTGTTGAGCATTATTAGAGGTTCATACGGATGCTGGACATTCGTCGAACTGATGGCTTCCAGAATCCGTCAACCTTCGGGTGTTCCTCGTGAACAGAACCAAATGGATCCGACAATTCCGGACGTGAGAATCGATGCATAGGTCGATGAGTTCCACCTCGAAGATCTCTGAATGCTCCAGTTTGGGAGAGATCAGGTACGGATTTAACAGTAAGTTATGAGTAAAATGGTCTGAAAAATAGAAAATACCGTCCCTTACGTGGATACGAACGTGTCAGCGAGATTATCCAAACTCCTAGACTTCCCCTCTTTCAATAGGGTGTCCCCAAAAAGACGGTACGGTCGTAGTGGTGGTGGTCGACTAGCTAACGATGATGATTCACTCCGGAGATTTATCGACTGAATGGAGTTCTGAAAGAAAGTTACCAGTTGTATCATGGGAGCTCTCGAACTTAATGACCTCACTCGCATGGCTCGTAAATCATTGGTGCTAAGTTTGGTCTTGAGCTCGTCAACAACTTGTCGTGGCATTCTCGGATTCCCCTTCTGAAACGTCTTGGAAGTGTCCTCTTCGGGAAAGATCCTCGTTCTTGATCGAGCTACTGGATGTTCGAAATCGTCCGAGGCTGCTCGAGCTTTTGGCTGAGAAGTCGACCGTGGAAGTGGCCTGAAAGTTACAACTAAACGTTTAAAAGATGCAATTTTTTTGTAAGGGCAGTCTTCAAAAAAAATCATCTTGAATGAATTTCTGATCGGAGGATATTGCAGACTGTGACAAAATACTTTTACGGTAAAGAAGCCATTTAATGGATGAGGAGGGTACAGCTTACAGGGCACAACCTCTACAGATTGTTCCGTAACCAGGGTTACCCATCGAAAAAGTGCTCCATCAGTAGGACCCCTTTTCTCAAAACACGGTTTAGGACCCCTTTACTCAAAACACCCCCACACCCCATTGTCCATCTTCCTCCTTTTCCCTTCTCTCGCAAACCCTTTTAATTGTTTCATACTACTATTAGGCAAACTCTGCATAATCGAGATGGACTGTTAAGAGGATAGGGGCCTGATGAGGGGCAATTGTAGACTTTCTTATTGAATTGAAGTCCTTGAAAAACCCAACAAATAACCGGGTCGACTCCTGGGTCTTACTGAAATTAGGACCCTCTTCCAGCTGATAGAATTTGCATGAAAAAACTGATTTGGTCTTTTTTGTTTTGAACGGAAAGGTCATCATGTCATTACCTCGGTATGAGCAGTCCTGCCAGGAAAAGACGTTGCTCCAAGTCTTGTATAGAGCGTTGTACTTCCGGTCGTGAGATCAGTATCTGAACGGATAGGCTCATAGTGTATAACTGAGGACTGGAGTTGAAAACTATACAGTTTTCAAAGAAAAAAATTGGTGTTCTTCGAGGGAATGCCAATGTTTGCTACCACTAAGAAATGACCTGAAGGTTTGCATTCATGATCTGAGCCGTCTGAGAGCTATCACAGCGGTAGCAGTGCACATGCATAGGTGAATTCATTTCTGGATTCAATACCAGCATAATCACACCGACGACGTCATCGAATGGTGGTTTGCCGATTATACTGAAAAAAGTCGACGATTTACAGAATCTAAAACGAATTATCCAGCACTCGATACTATACAGCATTCGTATTTTTTGTCCCATTCCATGAAATTACTTTTCCGGCTTTGATCAATCCCTTTTTCGTGTCCGGGAATATTGAATGTTTTCCTTCGGATGACGTACGGGGGCTAGCCCATGTATAAGTCGGTGCTTTATGCCCCAAAGTCTGGTACCACTTAGCCGGTCACGGAAAGATGAATAGTCTCACTATCCCGGGCGAACCTTAATCCATGATTCGGTCCTCAAATCACACGTACGGTACGGCGCCCCTTTGCACTGCTCCATACGCTCCTGGAAGTCTTGAGCTCAAACTGCATGGCTCCTGGAAGTCTTGAGCTCAAACTGCATAACTCAAACCTTCCACTCAATCATACTATACCTGCCTCGCGGCCTCGGTTTCAGACTGATCAGAGGACATTCTCAACCTCTTTCAACCCATCCCCTCTTTACTAAAGTTAGGAGGTCGGTGGATGG